CACTCTCACTCACTCTCTCTCTCTCTCACACACACACACACACACGCACACACACACACACACACACTGACTAATTTAGATTGTAAAATGACTGATAAATGTCTTCAGTATCAGATCAGTGCTGTTCTTCAGTCTGAACACTGAGGATGAATGTGGGAAAGTATTTCTCGTGATTTGAATATCGTCATGTTTTCTCAGAACAGAAGCACTTCTCTGATGGATGCGACAGAAGAATCTGAAGAGATCGAAGCTCAGCATCACTGAGACTCATCTGAGCGTCTGACCAGACCTCCAGCTCTCCTCGTATCAGCAAAAAATGAAGAAAAGATGCTGTTTTGGTGAATGTGCAATAATTAGCACACACACACACACACACACACACACACACACACACAGTGACTAATTTAGATTGTAAAATGACTGATAAATGTCTTCAGTATCAGATCAGTGCTGTTCTTCAGTCTGAACACTGAGGATGAATGTGGGAAAGTATTTCTCGTGATTTGAGTATCGTCATGTTTTCTCAGAACAGAAGCACTTCTCTGATGGATGCGACAGAAGAATCTGAAGAGATCGAAGCTCAGCATCACTGAGACTCATCTGAGCGTCTGACCAGACCGTGCTTGTACAATAATTACGATCTAGATCTGACGTGTCAAAAACACTGTGTCCTCAGCAGCTCCAGACGCGCATCTGATCAGACGAAGAATCAGAACGAACACTGAGCTGAAAAACATGAACGCTTGTCTGTCGCATCGAAGGCAGAGCCTGGACCGAACAAATGACACGTCAGCGTGATGATGCACTGTACAGCTTTAGCTAATTATACTTTATTTACAAAAGCAGATTATATAATGACACTCATTTTTCATTAGACAAGAATACAGGAGCAAATAATGAAATGACAGTAAATCATCTTTCTTGCATTGCTTATAAAAATACAAAACGAAAGGCCTTTTGGTTTAAAGCATCACATCCACCTCATTCATACAGAAGCAGCCAATCAGAGACGAGCTCTGGCCGATGTAGTGACGTTAATAAATGATAATAAAGTGTTTTACTCTTTAAATAACAAACATGAAGTCTGGATTTCAGTGGAAGCCGATGCGCAGCGCTTTGTTTTTCACCATGTTGAACTTGCAGACGAACACGCGTGTGAAGGCCGGGTCGGCGTGATACTGGTATGTTTTGGAGACGGTGGGCTGCGGCTCGGCAGGAGTGACGGGAGGCTGCTGATGGAGGGACGACAGAGACGGAGACAAATACTGAGACGCCCCGGTCACGAAATCCACCAGCCGACTGTACTGCAGCTCAGAGAGACGCTCACGAGCCCCGTCCACCTGAGACACAGATGAGAGACACAGATATGAGAGACAGACGAGAGACACAGATGAGACAGACATGAGACACAGAGACGCAGATGAGTCACAGAGACACAGACGAGAGACACAGATGAGAGACACAGATGAGACAGATGAGTCACAGAGACACAGACGAGAGGCACAGATGAGTCACAGAGATGCAGACATGAGACACAGAGAGACGCAGATGAGTCACAGAGACACAGATGAGACAGACATGAGACACAGAGATGCAGATGAGTCAGAGACACAGAAGAGAGACGCAGATGAGTCACAGAGACACAGATGAGACAGACATGAGACACAGAGATGCAGATGAGTCAGAGACACAGAAGAGAGACGCAGATGAGTCACAGAGACACAGATGAGAGACACAGACGAGACAGACATGAGACACAGACGCAGATGAGTCACAGAGACACAGATGAGA